TCACTGTAAATCTCTGGAGGTTTCCTTCTTCTTCCAATAAAACGTAATAAGGCCATTATAAATGAATCAGTATTCAAACTATACATCAGTTCAATATGTACAGCCCGTGTTTGCAAACAAGTAAATACATATCCGTATCTTTTTTCTAATGACTTTCCTATGTGTTCTTGTTCTTTATGACAATGTCTAATTATCACTTCCGTCACTAAGTATCGACTGGGTAAAATTATTGGATGTCTAAAAGCATTTGGGAAATCCGAGTATCTTAGTCGACCTCCAACGCAGAGTACCCATCAAGCGTTATCAGTGATAAACCTTTCAGATCATCATGACTAACTACTTTACTGTTGTTTTTAAATTCACTAAGTAATCCTGCATACACTTCTCTCTGAACCATCAATAAAATCTTACGCTTGGCGATGTCAAGCTCTTTGACCTTTAAATATCCTAGGTGAACGTATCCTTCAAGACTCGGTAAACGAAGTACCACCAGGAATTCTGTGAACCTTTTAAACCAGGTTAAAGCTCTGACTAATTTCAACCACTCGGAATAATGAGAGAATAGGTGACATGTTATACTTTATACTACTCAAGTTAACCACAGCAGTTTTTCTAAACTCAATATCGTCAGGAGTAGGTTTCGGACAATCAGTCACTGTTATACGAAATTCGCCATGCAGTAAAGTAGGACATTAGAACCAAGATTCAAGATCGGTCACTTTTTGTATACCTCTCAATGTCCAATCATCTGGATTCTGTGGTGACTTTACATAACTCCATTGTTCAACCTTCGTATACTGGTGTAAAATAGCAAAGCGGTTGGCTATATAGGTGCTATCTCAGCTTTCGGTATTCTTAATGTAGTATAACACTACCATGGAATCTGTATGGAAGTTCACATCGCAGAAAAATTTGGGCAGACCCCTCTGGAAGACTTAACTCGGCCTTACACTTAACACCGCTGCCGCCATCTCAAGCTTTGGTATAGTGATTTGTTCGATAGGTGCTACACTAGACTCGCTGTACAGCAAGATACAGTGTGGTGGTTTCTTCAAATAACTAACTCGCGAGTAGGCAGCTGCTCTATAATCAATCTCTGGCGCATCACTGAACAAATCTAATTCTACCTTCGCGTCAGGTTCGTCGATTCTCTTCTTGATCCCTTGAGCCACAGTAACATGACCTAGTCGATGCACATAATTCACCCAATTTAGCCACGTGGACATGTATGGCTTATTGAGAGCCTGATCCCAGCCTATTTGGGATTTACATAATTTTAGCAAGAGAAGTTTGTTCGTAAGGCAGACTGGAGCAATTAGACCCAATGGATCGAGCCGAGGAGAAACAACAGATAGAATCCCTCTGCTTGTCAAAGGCTTTTCTGGCGCATCAAGGTAAAACTTAAATACATGTCTTTTGAAATCACATTCTACACCTAGAGTTCGATCAGCGGTATCGTAACTCGTTGACATTTCTACCAAAGATCCCTTTTTACATACATCAGGTAAGATAGTCCTTACTTTTTCCGAGTCGGTAATCCGTTTCTTCAAATTAAAGTATCCTCTACGTAATAACTCAATTATCTGCTTAACAAACTTCTTTGCCGGATCACAAGTAGAAACGGATATCAAAACGATCATCAACACTAAACTCGTTCTTGACAGCATCCACGATATAACCATCAGAGAATGTTTGGGCTGTCTTGTTCATGGCAAAGTTCGGATAAAACGGCGGAGACGTGACACCATAAGGATGAGAAGTCACCTGCTTCGGTTCGGGCACCTGATCAGTATTACAGCCCCCACATATATCGAATGAGATTTGCGTGGCGCATATGTATTTGGTGCCTCCTTGTACCAATATCGATGTGTTAAAATAAATAAATAAAATAAATGAGAGGTCACTTGAAATTCGGGTGGTTCCTCTAACGCCTGTACTTTACTAGTATGGTTAACAACTCTCTTCCTAAATTCCGGGTATGATGGCTTATCATTTACGCCGTTGCTTGTCGAGTCGATGTGCAGCAGAGAGTGATGTCTCTTCTCACATCTATCCACGTTACAGCACCTTGTCATCTTACATTCATTAACCTTATGTCTTTGTCTAAGACAGATTAAGCAGATACACTTGCTTTTTGCGTGAGACCATCGGTCTTGAACTGTAAGCGCTAAAAACTGTGGACATTTATAAATAGCGTGGTCATAGGATTACATACTGCGTTTAGTTTTCTCTGTTGAACTATTCCCCTGCTCCGATTGCACGTGACAGTTCGTGTTTAACTTATGTCCTTTTCTTGAACGATTCGCTAACTGTCCAAATCTACTACAAGCTACTCTCGCACGAGATGCGATAAACTGAGTGAGCTCTTCAAACGTCGGTTCTTTGTCATCTTCAGTCAATTTATCCACCCAGTCCGCCCACTGGGCTTGCATAGGTTAAGGCAAGAGTCTTACTATTCTTTCCAAGGTAACTAAAGAATTTAGATCAGAAGTATAATTCATCTGTTCCAAGACCAAAGGACAATTTTCCATTTTAATAGCCAAGTTCGATAGTTACTCTGCGTCAGTATAATCAAAATTTACAGCATTGAATAAGTCTTCTAGGGTTTCTCGAGCGATTACATGAGACTGTCCAAACAAACATTTTAGGATTTCCCTTGCCCTCTTATAACCAGCAGATGCTTCCATCCGCAGCTCTTGCTCTCTATATTTCAAACCGCAACTAACTATTTCGCACGTCCCACTTTTATGGGACATATCATCTATAACGATAAATGGGATAGTGCTTCTAATGAATAGATCTACTCCTACTCGTTTACGCTTCTTTAGGCTGTTACCGATGTGAAAATTTCGAAACGGAATTTCCTACCTTCTGCAGATTGAGTCAGCCACGTTTCCGTAACAGCGATTATGTAAGAGTCTGTTTGTAAACCCAGATTCAATAGGTTGTTGAGTAAACTACAGGTATTTTCGTAACAGATCTGAAGTCCATTTAAGTGGCTTCTTGCTACACATTAAGTGGCTTCCCCATCATTCACTGCCGGAGCCTCATCACCAGAAAAGTTATAATCCTAGTGTCCTTCTCGTCAGCACATAACCTTAGTTTTAATAACTTTTCAGCTTCTTGTCTTTTTATAAGGTCCATAGTCGGTGGAACCTCCTGACTCTGCAGTGTTAGGTCCGTCTTATTGAGAGATTTAAATACCATTCTTAGCAACAGAGTTCGATTATATTTCAATTTTTGGCGTAGAAAACTTCACATTTTTTATATAAGTCACCGAAAACAACAGAGAAAGAAGCACGCCCGACAGACATTAACTTTACCGATGACAGTTTCATTTGCAATTCCACAGGACTTTCCGAAGTGAACCCGAGCGCTGACATGGTGTTCCGGAAACTGCAGCACTTAAGATTAGACACTTCTCCTGGCCCGGACATGGTCCATTCCGCCATACTGAGGGAAGCAGCCTCAATCTTGGCAACGCCGCTTAGCGTGATGTTCTCGCACACGCTAAGTCGAGGAAAACTACCAGAAAAATGGAAGCTGGCTCACATCACACCAATTTTCAAAGGAGGTCGACGCAGCGAAACTTCAAGTTATCGACCGGTTGCTCTTCTCCAATACCTTCAAAAATCATAGAGTCCCTGATATGCGATGGTATGAATGACTATTTACTGTCCTTAAATTTCTCCTCACCCCAACAGCATGGTTTCAGGAAGGGTTACTCTTGTATTACCAACCTGCTGACTGCGGTGCACAGATGGACAAGCATCCTTGATCACAAGGGGAAGGTTGATATCATCTACCTAGATTTCTCAAAAGCTTTTGCTAAGGTTAACCATACATGTCTTAGCAATAAGCTTAAACGATTAGGTATCAAACCACCTCTAATCGATTGGATCACTTCATACCTGAAAAATCGACATTTTAAAGTCAGGGTTAATTTCACTTTATCTCAGGCTATGGAATGTCCTAGTGGGTTCCCTCAGGGCTCAGTACTAGGACCTCTTCTCTTCTTGATCTACATAAATGATCTTACTCAACAGGTAACGTCAGACTTATTACGTTTTGCCGGTGACGTGAAACTTTGGAGAGAGATACGCAACCAAGACGATATACAGGCACTTCAGGAGGATCTGACTCGACTTCAAAGTTGGGCAGACGACAACGGACTTACCTTTAACACTTCAAAGTGTAAAGTAGTCCATCTGCGACATGTCGCAGACTACAGCTATAACTTAGTAAACTCCTCTGTAGTAATATCCCCAGTCAAAAATGATTTAGAAGTCCTGGTGCCCTAAGATTTAAAGTCTTACGCTAACTGTGACAAAAATGCCTTCCGAGTAAACCTTGCACTGGCAACATTGAAGCGCATTTTTAGCCAGTTTGACAGAAGAACTTTCCATATAATCTTCAATAGTTTTATCCGTCCCCATTTAGAGTACGGAAACATAGTATTTCCCTCCTCACTGCAAAATGATGAGCCACGAAATCAGTTCGAGGACTCAAATTTAAACCTCATTAAGAACGCCTCGAATCACTTAGCCTTTACCCATTAGAGTATAGGCGTCTAAGAGGTGGCCTTCTAATGGCTTACAGTATCCTTAACACTTCTGGACATCCTCTCAAACACCTACTTAAGCCTAGTTCCAACACTAACCTAAGAGGTAACACCCAAAAACTGGAGACAAAACATAGCAGAACAGACTGTAGACACAACTTCTACTCCTTAAGAGTTGTCAAATGCTGAAATGCGCTGCTGGCCGAGATAGTCCAAGCGACTTCCCATGAGTCCTTTAAGAGACAACTTGATCTATTCTTAAGGACTAAGGATAGTATCACACTATGATTTACTAATTTCTTTTCCTCTTTCATTGTTAACACACCTAGGTTCCTGCCTGGAGGATTTGGTGATCCCCTGCCACTAGACACTGAAGCCTGTTAAGCAAAAGCTTCTATTCCGTCCACGACCATTTGAACCATCTAATAATAATTCCCGCCTCATTTTGGTTGGCTGACAGGTTCAAGGTCGAAATTGCGAACGAGAGTGGAGTTTATCCCTACCTTTAGTTTAAGTGTTTGTTTCTGAACTTTTAGACATACATGTTGCACACTTCGTATGTGTTTACAGTTCTTTTCGTCTTTCGTGATCGTTTATTTAATGGGGGTTGTAATACTTGTCGCGATTATTGTACAGCCCATATGGGCTGTACACATTAATTCTGGTGATGGATTAAAGTCATCGTGTGGGAAGTCGTTCATAGCCATATCCCAAGTGCAGTGTTGGCATTGACATGCCACCTGGGATGCATCCTAGTTCTTGTCCTAAGGACATTTGACAGCGTCTCCTGTTTGCTCATAGTGCAATAGAGCCAGCAAGGTATGGTCAAATACACGAGACTCAGTTTCATTTTGGAAAAGACAGGAGACTTGATGGCCTGTGTTAGTCCTAGCAATAGTGGTCTCTCAGTTGATCCAAATTTCTTTTGAAAGAGTCGGGAAATGGAGCCTCAACCACGTGTTGAGGTAATGAATTCCACTCTTTGATGATTCGATGGGAAAATCGATAGTCAGCTGACAAGTAATTTGTTCTGGGCATGTGAACTTTTTTGGAGTATCCTCGTAAATTCTCTGTTATGGAAGACAAAAAAATGAGAGCATATCAGGTGCGGATTTATCACTTAGCAATTTGAAAACTAATTAAGTCACCTCTAGTTTTACGATATGACAACGGTAATAGGTTTAGCTTGGTCAGTCGAGCATGATACGGAAGCTTCGCTATTCCGGGAATCAGCTTAGTTGCTGTCCTCTGAACCTTTTCCAAAAGCTCACTGTCTTTTCTAAGCAGGGGCTAGCCGCTTACATGCTGTACTCAAGTTTAGGACGTACGAATACTGTATACAAAGTCAAAAACGTTGTAGCGTCGACATGACTAAAAGCCCTACGTATTAACCATAAGGTTCTAAAACCTTCGGCGGCTATTGCACGGCAGTCTGCAGTAGTCTTTAAGTTTTGGCTAACGATGACTCCTAAGTAATTATGTGTCTGAACGACAGGTAGCTCAGTGTTATTCATCGTGTATTTAATCTGTGCCTTGATGACCGATATGCATCACAACACACTTGGAAGTATTTATCGGCAACTGCCTGGTTTGAGACCATCCAGATAATTTCTTCAGGTCATTTTGGAGTTCTAAGCTATCACCCTTACATCGTATCGTTCTCCATATCTTGACGTCGTCAGCATATAGCAAGACCGATGATGATAGGAGACGAGGAAGGTCATTTACATACAAGAGGAATAGCACGCCCCAAAACTGTACCCTGGGGCACTCCACTAAGCACAATTTCCCAGCTAGATAACTTTGAGTTGACCCGTACTCTTTGTTGGCACCCAACTAGGAGGTCTTTTATCCACACCAATAGATTACCTCTAATTCCGAAATTTCTTAGCTTACAAAACAGCCGGTTGTGCGGAACTTTGTCGAAAGCTTTGCTGAAATCAATGAAGGCGACGTCTACAGGTAGCTTTTGGTCCTTAAGAGCGCACCAGCTTTCACGAGCCACTAATAAGTTGGTGAGACAAGCATAACCTATTCTGAAGCCGTGCTGCTTCTCCGAAAGGATCCGGTTTTCATCGAGGTACTTAAGCAGCTCCTTCCGAATAATCTTTTCTAAGATTTTAACAACCACACCAGTTAGGCTAACGGGTCGGTAATTCTCAGGTTTATGTTCCGTACCTGTTTTGAAGACAGGACTTACTATGGCGTTCTTCCAGCCTTTTGGTAAACGACCTTGCGTTACGGATAGATAAAAGCATATACTTAAAGGATTCGCAACGAAGCTAAATAATTCCTTCAGTAGCCTAGGATGTAATTCATCTGGCCCCGTGGATTTACCTGTGTTAAGCTTATTTAGCAGACCAAAGACATCGAGTTCTTTAATGGTCACGCTATCCAGTGTATGTGTGGGGGGATCTGTATGCACTGACGGGAAGGGTGCTTATATGGTATATACATTGCTAAAGTAGTTCGAGAACACGAGCCTTACCAAAGTCGTCCTCCACTAATGATGAGGCAGTACTAACTCCCCACAGTACAGGAATATTTCCTCTTCTTTTTGTCCTTTGGTTTATATAAGAATACAAGCTTTTAGGACATTCTATGGATTCCTTAAAAAGTTTTCGTACAACTTTCTAGACTTACGGAGGGTCGAGGCACAGGTATTCCGAACTTTTCGATACTAAGATTTTGTCTCATCAGTCCTAGTAACCCAATCTATCCCACATTTTTCTTCTCTTACGAAGAAGGATGCGGACCTCCCTACCGAACCATGGTGGAGAGTTTCTCGGCCACCTTGGTATGATCCTAGGGATGTGGGGGGTAGGTGGTAAGTATAAATTTCGAAATGCGTCCCAAGCCATTTCAATTGAGGACTCTGGGTTTATTGTCCAGTCTACTGACGATGCTGAGTGCATGATATCTAGCATGCTTGCTTTCCAGACGTTAGGTCTGGATTGAGCTAACACGTGCTCGTGATTGACAGTTATATGGAAGTCGAAAGTTGAAACTGAGTGATCACTTTTACTTATGGGTGGCATGTAATGGAGGTTCGCAACGTCATCGTTATAGTGAGTCAATATAAGATCTAGTAAGGATGATTGAGTGTTCGGGTCGTACCTAGTCGCTTCTTTCACATGTTGCACTAGGGCAAATGTGATAACCGCATCAACTAGTCCCTACTCGAAGGAATTTTCTGACGACTCAGTTCGCATATTTTCCCAGTCTACCATAGGTGCATTAAAGTCCCCTAGGATTAGATATCGACCACTTTGTGACCAATTATTTGGACTGCTTAGCAGAACCTCATTTACCTCACAGCTTGGACTGCGATAGACCAAACTGATCAGCAGCTCTTGTCCCTTGGATTTCAAGCGGCAACTAACTAATTCACACGTCCCACTCATGGGGTACATTGTCGATAATGGCAAATGGGATAGCATTCCTAATGAATAGAGCTACTCCCCCCTCCTTTACACTTTTGTATTCTGTCGGCCCTTACTAACGTAAAACCCTCGAAATCAAGTTCTATACTATCTATAGACTGTGTCAGTCAGGTTTCTGTGATTGCGATTATGTCTGGCTTTGTAGAGTCAATCTGTACACCTAGTTCCAATCGCTTATTGAGTAAGCTTCGGGCATTAGTGTAAGAGATCCGAAGCCTATTTAAGTGGCTTCAAGCTTCACCATAGTGGCTTCGGCATCATTCTCTGTCTAAGCCTTACAACCCGAAAATTTGAAATTTTTGTGTCATTTTCGCCAGCGTCTAACGTCAGTTGTAGTTCTTTTTCGGATTCCCGTCTTTCTACGCGGTCTGCCAACGGCAAGTCCTTACGGATAAAAACTCCTGAACCCTTTAATTTATGTCCATTCTGTAAAATTAAGTCGCGTTCATTCGAAGATTTGAATACTACTTTAAGCAGTCTGGATTGATTAGGCTTCAAGTTCGCTAGGCTGCCTAGTCTGTACACCTTTAGCAAGGTGACTCCGGGGATATTTTGAGGCAGAAGTTGATTAAGTAGCTGTTTTGTCAGCACAATGTCATGCTCAAAACGAGTTTTTGGTTCAGAGCTTTCACTCTCCTTGATTCTATGAAAAACAACTGATCTGTCACTTTGATCAGCCTTCGATTTCTCGACTACTTTTATGGGGCAGGATTCCCTTTTATATCGTTATGTTGTTTCTTCCTTACAACCTGTACCCATTCGTCAACGTTGCTATGAGAAGCAACCACAGTTGCGTCAAACATACAGTGAGATTCCGGAGGGTTGTCGACGATTCGGGAGGTCAGGTTGTGTTTCCCGCTGGAAACTGATCGAGCCATGCGATTGCGGCTTTCAGGCGTTTCCTGCCGGATACCATTTAGAAGACGGGAGACAGAAGAAACTTCTTTTCTTGAGCTTTTGGTTAAGACAGACCTCTTTGAAGACTGTTTTTCCTCTTTTGGTCGGTGTGGGTCACCTGTTTTCGAACTCACCTGAGTTTGCTTCACATCAATTTGCGTGTCGACAGAGCGAGTACTGTTCGTTGTGTCCCGACCATGCTTGCCAAAACACTTTTGCATCAGCATTTACCAGTGAGATGGCCTCGGTTAGCAAGCTGTTTGCATCCGAACAGCACTGTTGACAAAGCCATACACAACCGTTTTTGCTGAACCGTTTGAAAGCTGCAGGCGTTAAATTCGTGCAAACTTCGTGGTACCAGCCTTTGCACTCATCGCACTGCATGCCGCTTTCAACGCGATAACGACAGCCCGGACGTTGGCAATTAGTTTTTTTGCACTGTCCAGTCATTAAATAGGGGTCCTTTTTTAAAAAAAGAACTGGATGCAATAATACTCAGACAAAAATGATCTATGACCAAAAAAGTGGAAAACTGTAGATCGTTAGTACAAAAAGTACTAACAGATACAATAAAAAACAAAGTACTCAAAAGTACCGACGACAAACTAATTTAGAAACAGAAATGATACTTTAATCGAATACTTTAACTGAAATAAATTCAATAAAAGTGAAAACAGTAGTCTTGATACGTAATAAACGGTCAAAAAATGGAATTCACTCAGCGAGGAAAAATACCACTGTCCTTTTAATTAGACTCAAGTCCAAAATGGGTTTACAAGGTAGCAATAATCTGTTATGTCATATTGTCTTCGGACATTTGTGTATGTTGCCATCTCGATTATTCTCAATGCGGTGGGACTATAAGTTATGGACAATCTTTGTAACATTAGCAACACGCTAAGATAGAAAAGACCTTTGATTGAAGCTTATTGATTGCTTAGTTGGTTGGATCAATACCTTTAACTGAACAGTTGCAAATAATTAGACGGTAATCGAGCTGACAATTTATACGCATCTCATCGGGGTATTTACTTCAACGGGAAGTCAACTGACTAAGTTGCTCACTACACTTCAAGCGACATGAAAATAGAGTTGAGAAACTATGACTACTTAAAAGAGTCTAAGTATAGTTATGAATCAATGGGAGAAGATTAGGATTAACCGTTAATGTTATGGTTATAAATTAGGGTTTTCACCGTAAACTGACATCAGCTATATGATTTGGCTATGTAGATAAATTATTTCTGTGTTGAAGTCTTGGGTTTGCTATCCAGAATCTCATTTGGTCTCCCATAAATTATAGACTTGGCGACCATTGAACGGGAAGAAAATACATTGAAACAATCTAGCTCTTCCGAAGAAGTGGATGGGAAACAAAGGAGTACTTGGCTATCGGTTTTAAGCTCATCGTATGTCCTTAATCTCGCTCTTGCTATTCAGATTTCCACACGTTCCTCTACACAACTTCGGCACACAATACATCAGCGTAAGTGATACTTGTTCAAGCCATAGATATCCTGTCACAATTCCTACAAGATCAAAGGTTCTTTGAATGACTGAGTCGTCAAAATGTGTCCAGTATTTCAAAGTAAATTCTTGAAATTTGTTTTTTACCACTTATCCTAGGGAGATCCTTTAGATGAGTTGACTTCATCATCACCATGTTTACCTCCTCTACAACCTTCACGAACACACAAGGTGTTCTTTCGTGTAAGTCGTGTTTTTTGAACTTGATAACATTTCAGTGTGACAGTAACCCTGTAAAGCCACCTATACCATATCCTGATGACTATCAGGATAAGTGGAACGGATTGTTTGTTCGTATGCCATGTTCTCCTGAAAGCGTTTATCCGGTTTATGAAGTAAGATTGTTCAGTGGGCTTATGTTTTAGGGTGGTGCTAATAGCCTTATTTCTAGATGGGTCGTGATTGAAAAGGCATTGAGAAATAAGATAAAATCTTCTGACGAGTTGAAGGTAAAAAACTTAGTTCATTTTAATTTTAACAATGTTGTCATTCATGTAATCAGATTTGCTATTTGTATGGTATATAAGAGAAATGATTAGGTCACACATTCTTCTTAATTTATTCTAGGAAGCTATTCTCTCCTACAACTATCGTTTCAAATCCTACTGGAATTTTAAAACATTAGAACAATTATGTATGATGAACCTGATCCCCGATGGTGGAAACGATAATTTCTTCGGTAACACTCTTTCCGGAATTTGTTCGTTAGCACTAAATTTGCCTATTTTGTTACAAAAGTAATTAGCTGTTTTTTAATGGTTTATAATTTACTCTTGAAAATTAAAATATCTTTGCTAGTTTTCTTTCTGAAAAGAAGGTACTAGATTGATTGGTATGTTGTAGAAAAATCCTTAGAAAGATTTAATCTTGGTCAGAGGTTGGATGTGTTTTATTTCTGCAATAATGACTATTGGTTTTCAGTCACTCAACTGAAATCTCTGGTCTTGACATGTTTTAGGACTTCATTTAGTAAACATATCTAAAGTGGGGTTTAGTGTGATAATGCTCCGGTTCAAGGTCCCCCACTTACCATAGTAAAATAAAACACGGGTTTCTAGTATCTCATTATCTTCATGTTAAAAAGTTTTGAACTATTCTCATATTTTTACATTCAATTTAAGGCTTGACAAATTCCATTTTAATTATTGAGCCAATACTTCAGGTACTCCTTAGTGTAAAGTCACTGCTAACCATTAACATTTAAAGTACTCAGGTAATTTTTCGGTTAGAAATCCCAAGGGTAGGTCATGTACTTGTTGTTTGTTGGCCTTCAAATCTATTAGCACCTCCAAGTTGGGGAAAAACGGCATGCGGCTGACTCAGTTTTGCTCCCAAGTGCCCTGGTATGGTCTAGGGTGAAGAGGGTCAGCTCCATCTATCAAAATGCTCACACGGCCACGCATATACAGTTACTGCAACTGCAGTCTCACTCGCTGTCTTCTCGTGGCGGGGATATTGTTTATAAAACCGAAAAGACGAAAGTCCTGCGCTTTAACCGGGTTTGCGAACACCTAGGGGAGTTGGACAGCCCTAATTCTAAACCAATGGTGCACATCAGTCAGTCAGTCAGTCAGCTACAACGTAGGACCAGGCACATGTATGCATCGGCCCAGGTTGCCATACCTCATTAGCACAGCAAGATGAACACCGGATTCATAGGAGTGGTTAGGTCAAAGGTGGTAATATATAGGAGAAAGATTGCAATAAGGATATAGTACAGGAAGAAAGAATTAGTTCGTAGAAAGAAAGATGTGAAGTGATCTTAATCTTTTTTTTTTTTTTTTTTTTTTTTTTTTTTTTTTTTTTTTTAGTGATCGATCCTAAGCCATGTCACCAAGAGTCTCCAACCATTGGTTACGAAAGTCACGCGGACCCCAACCAAGTAGTCTGCATCTACCAACATGGCTCAGACTAGAAGTTAGTGACTTCAGGCACTGATGCCACGTTTTGGTTTGGCCGCCCCTAACTTTCTTCCAACCATCCCCTACACCGGTTAGCATTGCACGTCGCGGTAATCGGTGTTCAGGCATACGTAATACGTGGCCCAACCATCTCAGTCGATGAAGATTCATAACCTCATCAACTGATTTACCATCATTCCCTAATACCCTGCGTCTAACCTCACTATTACTTACCCGGTGATCCCAGCAGATGCCAGCAATATTTCTAAGGCATCTGTGGTCAAATACTAGTAGCTTACGGGTGTCTTCTACTCTTAATGGCCATGTTTCGCTGCCGTAAATTAAAACAGAACGGACTGCCGCGCAGTATACTCGTCCTTTTATTGATAGACGGATATCTCGCCTCCGCCAAAGGTGACGTAAGTTGGCAAAAGCCAAACGAGCTTTACGAATCCGTGCTGAGATTTCGTCAGACACCAACCCATTAGGGCTGATCAGACTTCCAAGATAAGTGAAGTTGTCAACGCGTTCGACTACTTCACTCCCTATCCTTAGTTCAGGTGTTGACGCAGACCAGTCCTGAAGCAACAACTTGCATTTAGAGGGAGAGAAGCGCATCCCAAACATTCTGGCATTGTTGCTTAGTGCTACCAGAAGACTCTGCATTTTGTCAGCGTCTTCACCAAACAGGACTATGTCATCTGCATATTCTAAGTCGATAAGTGGACCTCCTGGAAGGAGATCAATACCCGAGAATTCAGTCGACGAGAGTGTTATTTCCATCAATAGGTCTATGATGAAGTTAAACAAAAATGGAGAAAGTGGGCAGCCTTGACGGACACCACTTGAGGTTGCAAAAGTAGATGACAGTTCGCCATAAGCCCTGACTCGACTAGTAGTGTTCGAGTAAAGAGCCTTCACAAGGTTTATGTACTTCTGAGGTACGCCTTTCAATGACAGACACTGCCACAGAGTCTCGCGGTCTACAGAGTCAAATGCTGCTTTTAAGTCAAGAAAGACCACCATCGTCGGACGCCGATAGGTATGCCTGTGTTCTAGAACCTGACGAATGGTGAATATGTGGTCGATGCAGCCACGACCAGGTCTAAAGCCAGCTTGGTTCTCTCGTGTTTGTAGTTCACGAGTCTTAGTTAGGCGTTTGATAATTATCGAGGCCAGTATTTTAGATACTATGTTTGTTAAACTAATCCCTCTGTGGTTGTCACAGGATGATTTTGACCCTTTCTTATATATTGGGACGATAAGTGATTGCGACCAGTCAGATGGGATAACGTCTAATTCCCAGATCTTAGCTAAAATATTAGTCAACCTAATCGCTAAAATTGGACCACCATCCTTAAAGACCTCTGGAGCCAATCCATCTGGACCAGCTGCCCTTCCTCGTTTCAGATTAACTATAGCCTTCTCAACTTCAGCAAGAGTTGGGGGACCTACTTCAATGTTCCATTCACTTTGTCTGGGAATGGAGGGTAGTTGTAGAGTAGCTGAAGGCCAGCTGAACTGTTCTCTAAAATGTTCCGCCCATCGTTCTAAACGTCTGGACTGGGAGCAGATGAGAGTATCATCTTTTTCCGAAATAATCTCACTTACACTTGACTTATTAATTCCAGTTTCTTTTATTAGTCTGTAAAGCTGTCTTGTGTTCCCTATAGTCGCCGCCTTTTCCATCTCTTTTGCTTTCGTTACCCACCACTGCTCACGGTCGTTCCTTAGACTTTTTCTTAACCTAGATCTGATTTGTTTACGCTCTTCATCATGTTCAGAACCTGATGGGACGAGTTTGCGAGAATCCATCAGTGTGACAGACCTTGAAGAAATCCACTGGTTCCTTGTAACTCTGTGGTTTAAGTCACTAATAGATGTCACTGCTGTTTCCACAGCTGATTGTATGCCCTTCCAAGCAACATCTGGGTCAGCCTCGTCTTCACAACTACCTAAGTGTGACCTCAGTTGTTCCTGGAACCTACTTTTGGTTTTCTCGTTACTCAACTCAGTTCTAACGGGTCTTTTTAATGTGGCTTTTTTGCGTCCAGTGAGGCGCAAGCAGATGCGTGCCCGTATTAGGGCATGGTCGGAGTCCAAGCAGGTACTCCAGAATGAGCGACAATCTTCTACCGACCCTCTCCAACGATGACTGATGGCAATATGGTCTATTTGAGTCCATCGTTGGTTTGGTGTAGGGGGTCGCCATGTTAGACGATGTCTCTCCTTATGCTTAAAATTTGTGTTTGCTAAAAATAAACGATTGTCTGAGCATAGCTGCAGCAGACGATCACCATTATCTGTTCGCTGTGTCGGAATACTAAAATATCCACCTAAATGCCTTTCTGTTTGGTTTAAACTGCCTATCTGAGCATTAAAATCACCTGCTACGAGTACTATGTCTGAGCGTTTAGCTTTCTGAAGAAGTTCGGACAGCTTTCTGTAAAATTCATCTTTCACTTCATCTGAGCTGCAGTCAGTGGGAGCGTAGGCAGAAACGACAAAAAGGCAACGACGTGTGTCCCTATCCTTCCGAGTTCTTACGTAGCCGTTCAGCCGAACAGCACATAGACGACTGTTGACGGGGATCCACTCTAGCAGTGCTTGTTCGGCCCTCATGCTTAGTGCTATGCCTACACCTGCCAGTCCACGAGAACTTGCCATCGGGTCACCAGACACACGAAGGGTGTATCTCGTTGGCTCTCCGTTTGCCGAGGTGAGGTCAAGTGAATGACCACACTGGAATCCTGTATGCGTGTTTCGGAGACACAGCATACATCAATGGAAAGAGACTCTAGGGTTTTAGCCAAGGAAGCCTGCTGACCGATTTGACATAGGGTGCGTACGTTGAAGGCTCCAATGTGTAGTTTGGAGCGAGGTTTCAGTAGACCTGGGACAGTGTTTTGCGCACTAGAATCGTTGGCTATGGTGACACTTGAGGTGGAAGCCGAGAGAGGAAATATAGAGTTGAAAGTCGATGTAGGAGGAATAATAGGAATTGAAGAGGAGGTTGATTATGAATACAGTGGTCTTGAGTGCTGTTAGAAGTATGAGGGCGGTTATCACTTCCCGGTTGCCCACACCGTGGAAGGGTTGTTCTGGAGGTACCTGAAAAGGAAATTGGATTAGAAGTGGTCTTAGTGACCTGAGAGCGTGACCGCAGTGCCCAAGGGACAACTGCTTGAGGTCGGTCACACACGACCTTGTTATGGGTAATTTTTGTGTTAGCTCCGTACTTATTGAGACCTTACCGCCGGAGACGGATATCCGTGGGATAAGGCGAGGTGTGCATTTTTAGGGTCGACCTTTTCTAACCCCACCCCTCCTTGTGGGAAGGCAGCATCGCTGTCATGCTGGTTGTCTGAAGGAAACACCTTACTGCTGTCACACCTCTGTACAGTCAGCAGTACGACTTCGCCTTCGGACCTTGGGTTTGTTGCTTTTAGTCTTACCGCTCTTCAACCGACCTGTCTGACATGGTAGGACCTTGAGGAACGGTTGTTCCAGCCAGTATAGCTCGGTTGCTTCATCACGATAGGCAAGCCCGACCACCACGTCAAGGTAGCAACAACGGTCGGGAATGGTGCACATGGACTCATACTTTTATTTTTTGTCAGTGGTTGTCACTATTTATTTGAACGTTGTTTGATTATCATTTCTACTTTTTCACTTTAGCCTATTCCTTTACTATCATGCCGAAAAGAATGCGCACTTACTTTAAGTCAACTCCAGATAGCCAGTCTTTTGGCAAATGCTTTGTTTTGTACATTTCCTAGACGTAATTGTCACAGTCAAGATGCAGAATATGTTAATTTCCCTCAGATCAATTTCTCTCATTTACTGTCAGCAAAAGCCGACAGTAAATATGATACAAGCAGGTGAGTTTATTCATTATACTAAATCCTAAGTCATCTTCACGATTTACTGTATCTGCTTTTCATGAAACCAGTTAAGTCGCAATAATAATTATTAGCAAGCTATTATAGGGATTCGGTTCTCAATGCTATTTTGTAAGAAAATCTAACTGAAGTTAAGATGCTTATGTAAAACCTAAAATAAGACACTACAAAGCAACGTGATTGCTTTCACTTTCGTCACTATATTCTTGTTGGTTACCCTTGTATTTATCGACTTAGAATACGCAGATGACATTGTCCTGTTTGGTGAAGACGCTGATAAAATGCAGTCTTTTGGTAGCACTAAGCAACAATGCCAGAATGTTTGAGATTCGCTTCTCCCCCTCTAAGTGCAAGTTTTTGCTTCAGGACTGGTCTGCGTCAGCACCTGAACCAAGGATAGGGAGTGAAGTAGTCGAACGCGTCGACAACTTCACTTATTTCGGAAGTCTGATCAGCCCTAATGGGTTGGTGTCTGACGAACTCTCAGCACGGATTCGAAAAGCTCGCTTGACTTTTGCCAACTTACGTCACCTATGGCGAAGGCGAGATATCCGTCTATCAATTGAGGGACGAGTATACTGCGCGGCAGTCCGTTCTGTTTTAATTTACGGCAGCGAAACCTGGCCATTAAGAGTATAAGATACTCGTAAGCTACTAGTATTTGACCACAGATGCCTCAGAGATATTGCTCGTATCTGCTGAGATCACCGAGTAAGTAATAGTGCGGTTAGACGCAGACTATTAGGGAATGATGGTAAATCAGTTGATGAGGTTGTGAATCTTCATCGACTGAGATGGTTGGGCCACGTATTACGTATGCCTGAACTCCGATTACCACGACTCGCAATGCTAACCGGTGTAGGGGATGGTTAAAAGAAAGTTAGGGGCAGCCAAACCAAAACGTGGCATCAGTGCTTGAAATCACTAACTTCTAGTCTGAGCCATGTTGGTAGATGCAGACTACTTGGTTGGGGTCCGCGTGATTATCATAACCAGTGGTTGGAGACTCTTGATGACATGGCTCAGGATCGATTACAATGGCATCGGTGTATACACTCTCTGTCTTCCCTTAAACTAAGAGATTAAAATCGCTTCATATCTTTCTTTCTACGAACTAATTCTTTCTTCCTGTACTATATCCTTATTGCAATCTTTCTTTTATATATTACCACCTCTGAATTAACTACCTTTATGAATCCGGTGTTCATCTTGTTGTGCTAATGAGGTATGGCAAGTTGGACTGATGCATATATGTGCCTGGTCTGACGTTGTAGCTGACTGACTGACTGTACTTCTTGTAGTACACTGGCCTTCAGCCACATTTCGTTCCCCCACGATCCTCTAGTCGACCTGAATGCCAAGTTGATGTAAGTCCTTTAACTCTACGAAGTTAAAAAAGCTATATGTAATCTTAAGCAAGGAAGAGAAACAGGCCCTGGGTACTGGACGTAATCACATCTGACTGGTCTCAGTTACTGATTGTGCCAGTCTGTAAGAATGGACAAAAGTCCTCTTGTGACAATCACAGAGGAATCATTTTGACCAATATAGTGTCTAAAATATTAGCTTCAATAATACTTCGACGCCTAAATAAAGCCCGTGAAAAGCAGACTAGAGAAAACTAGGCTGGTTTCCGACCTGGATGTGGCTGTATAAACCAGATATTCACACTACGTTAGGTCCTAGGACATAGACACACATCCAGACGTCCGACAATAGTAGTATTTCTCGACCTTAAGGCGGCATTTGACTCGGTTGATCGTGAGGTTCTATGGCAGTGTTTGTCACTGAAAGGAGTACGAAAGAAGTACATTAACCTTGTAAAGGCTCTCTACTCGGACACAACTGGTCGAGTGAGAGCTTATGGCGAACCGTCATCAGGATTGATTAACTCAAGTGGTGTTCGTCAGGGCTGTCCACTCTCTCCATTCTTTTTTAACTTTGTTGAACTTTTCCCGGGATATTTAGTCAGTCAGCTACAACGTAGGACCAAGCACATATATGCATCGGTCTAAGTTGCCATATCTCATTAGCACAGCAAGATGAACACCGGATTCATAGAAGTAGTGACTTTATGGACTAATGCCATGTTTTGATTTGGCTGCCCCTAACTTTCTTTTAACCATCTCCAACACCGGTTAGCATTGCGAGTCGTGGTAATCGGAGTTCAGGCATACGTAATACGTGGCCCAACCATCTCAGTCGATGAAGATTCACAACCTCATCAACTGATTTACCATCATTCCCTAATAGTCTGCGTCTAACCGCACTATTACTTACTCGGTGATCTCAGCAGATACGAGCAATATCTCTGAGGCATCTGTGGTCAAATACTAGTAGCTTACGAGTATCTTATACTCTTAATGGCCAGGTTTCGCTGCCGTAAATTAAAACAGAACGGACTGCCGCGCAGTATACTCGTCCCTCAATTGATAGACGGATATCTCGCCTTCGCCATAGGTGACGTAAGTTGGCAAAAGTCAAGCGAGCTTTTCGAATCCGTGCTGAGAGTTCGTCAGACACCAACCCATTAGGGCTGATCAGACTTCCGAAATAAGTGAAGTTGTCGACGCGTTCGACTACTTCACTCCCTATCCTTGGTTCAGGTGCTGACGCAGACCAGTCCTGAAGCAAAAACTTGCACTTAGAGGGGGAGAAGCGAATCTCAAACATTCTGGCATTGTTGCTTAGTGCTACCAAAAGACTGCATTTTATCAGCGTCTTCACCAAACAGGACAATGTCATCTGCGTATTCTAAGTCGATAAGTTGACCTCCTGGTAGGAGGTCAATGCCTGAAAATTCAAACAACGAGAACGTTTTTTCTATCAGTAGGTCTATGATAAAGTTTAACAAAGATGGAGAAAGTGGACAGCCTTGACGGACACCACTTAAGGTTGCGAAATCAGATGACAGTTCGCCATAAGCTCTGACTCGACTAGTAGTGTTCGAGTAAAGAGCCTTCACAAGGTTTATGTACTTCTGAGGTACGCCTTTCAATGACATACACTTCCACAGAACCTCTTGGTCTACAGAGTCAAATGCTGCTTGTAGGTCAAGAAAAACTATCATTGTCGGACGTCGATGAGCATGTCTGTGTTCTAAAACCTGATGAATGGTGAATATGTGGTCGATGCAGCCACGACCAGGTCTGAAACCAGCCTAATTTTCTCACTTTTCCAGTTCACGGGTTTTTATTAGACGCCCGATAATTATTGAGGCTAGTATCTTAGGTGCTATATTAGTTAAATTCGCTCTCCATCTGTCGCTTCGAAAAGCTTGTTTCACGTGCGTTTATCCGGGGACCCTGTGGCATCGTCTGGTCTTGCTGGTGTTGGTGTCGCATTAAGCGCTAGATCTGAGACAGCACTGTTCAATTGGATCCCCACTAACAGTCGGTTATGTGCTGTTAGATTAGAAAGTTCCATCAAAGCGAAAAGAAATCGGCGTGAAAAACGATGTCTTTTCGTCATCTCCGCCTATGCCCCGACAGATTGCAGCCCGTATGCAATCAAGAATGAGCTTTACGACCAGTTAACAGTTGTTCTACAGAAAGTGCGTTCGACAGATATTGTAGTACTAGCCGGAGACTTGAATGCTCAGGTCGAGCACAGAAGAGAATCGTTTAGGTGGCCAATGGGGACTTGTTGGTCTCAGGACAGATAACGGTGACCGTCTACTGCAACTGTGCACAGACCTCAACCTGTTTCTGGCTAGCAATAACTTTCGGCACAGTCATCGCCGATGTTACAACTAAGTATCGAACCGAGCTAGCTTCTAGGCTAGATACCATTCCACCGAAAAGTATAGATGAGCATTGGTCGCAACTTCATGACGTCATGAAAATTGCTAGTAAAGTCCGCTTGCGGCTTCGCGAAACGTCCGGTCCATGAGCACAGGGTTTCTCCAGGCTCCTTACAACTCATCGAAGCCCGTCAGTCTACTCCGGGTGACCGTGAGTTTGACCATAAACGAAGGATGTTACGTGATGAAATCGGGCAAAGCTTGCGTAAGGACCGAGAAGCCTGGTGGTCGGAGTGTGCTAGTGAGCCGGAAGCAGCAGCTGCATCTGGTAACTACCGGAAGCTCTTCCAACTCATCCGAGCCACTAGCAGCAAGAAGTCTGGTGTAAGTGAAACAATCTACGAGGATGACGGGATGCCAATCACCAACATCCATCGACGTCTTGGACGGTGGGCAGAATTTTTCGAAGGGCAGTTCAACTGGCCTGCTGCTCCGGCAACATTGGTCAGATTGTCTTGCCCTCCATGGCCGGTGACGACTGATCCACCAAATGGGGCGGAAGTCCGCAAGGAACTCCAACTCTTGAAGCGCTACAAATCACAGCCCAGATGACTTACCTCCGGCTCTTTTTAAAGATAGTGGTGACTTTCTGGCTAAGGAACTGACTGTGTTGTTTACAAAGATCTGGCAATTAGAGAGTGTTCCAACATAATGGAATGAGTCGATACTCGTTCCTATCTCTAAGAAGGGTTCACGTCGTTTCTGAAACAACTATCGGGGAATAAGTCCACTTCCAATCGCGTTTAAACTATTGGCTTCTGTCATGATTCTTAGATTGTTCAAAACTCGAGAAAAATTGACTCGAGAGGACAGGCTGGTTTTCGTTCTGGGCGAAGATGTACTGATCATATTTACACCCTCCTACAAATTTTAGAATACATCTATACTTATTACAGGCCAACAATCTGCTATAACTGTGACGGCAGATTAGAGGACGGCGAATTATCGATCGGACCAAAGACGCGCAAACACGTAAGAACGACCTAGGGTTCTGATTGGTCCCGCTTCCCTGTCTAGCCCAGCCAGTTGAGTCCAGAACGCAAGTCTCAGCCTCGGATATATGAATCGTTATATTTCAAACACACTCTGCTTATATACCAGTCAACCATACCACATCGTACCATAAAATAGAAAATAACATCGTACAATATTGACCAGTAGGAAAATGACACGTTAAATGAATATTGACCAATAGGATGATACCATTTCATGTCCAAGGATAGCATTAGGCTTAACAGAATAATCTTTGGGATATTTTACTGAATATCCCAACACAATCATAGTGTTTCTTTACATCACGTCCACCTTCGATTCGTTGGATAGGGCTGTTCTCTGAGATTGTCTATTGAAGAAGGATGTGCCTGAGAAGATTATTAACATATTTAAAGTCCTACATACCAACACCTCAGACAGAGTAATGGCATACAACCACCTTTCTCAATTGTTCCATTCAAGCAGTGTGGTTAGACAGGGTTTCCCAATCTCACCATTCCTCTTCAACTTTGCCATCGATGACATTCTGGAAACAGCCCTGATGTATGTAATTAATGACGGTGTGGATATGTTACCTGGAGAAAGACTTCTCGACCTGGAATATGACGATGATATTGTATTACTGTGCGATAATGCCCAAGCCATACAATCCGTACTTAATCAGTTGGCAATTATTGTCCGTAGGTATGGTATGTGCTTTGCACCTTCGAAGTGCAAAGTACTTCTGAAAGACTGGCAGGATCCTAATCCTGTACTCACCCTGGATAGTGAGCAGATAGTAGTCGAGAAGTTCGCGTATCTGGGTAGCTGCATAAGTGCTGGTAGTGGGGTCAGTGATGAAACCAATCCACGTATAGTGAAAGCCAGAGCGGCTTATGCCAATCTGGGCCATCTTTGGCGCCTTCGTGATGTTAATATGGCTGTAAAAGTTCGGATCTACAACGCGTTGGTGAGAGCAGTTCTTCTCTATGCTTGCGAAACTTGGCCTCTCTGAGTTGAGGATGTTAGACGACTCTCTGTGTTTGATCATTGTTGCCCCCGAAAGGTTACTGACATCCAGTGGCAACACCATGTTAGTAGTGCAGAGGTCTGGCGTCGTCTGTTCTGGCACAGCGACGATAATTCAATTGGTGTCACTATCTTGAAACACCGACTTCGGTGGCTTGGACATGTTCTACGAATGTCGTCTCAGAGAGTTCCACGTCGTGCACTAGTTGACGACGCTGGGACTGGTTGGAATAAAGTGGAAAGGTGGTCAGTCTACGACATGGTGTCGTGACAAGAACGAAGGATCTACAAGACTGGCTTCTGCTGGTCTTTCGCGACTCCCTGGTTGGGTTCCGAGAGATGATACAACACAGTGGTTAGAGTCATTATCACATATGGCTCAGAATAGAAGCCAGTGGCGATCCTTCTGTAACCTTTTACTTTCTTCATAAAAAGTGGTTGTATCTTCCTTAACTGAAAGATTTCTCCTGGTTGTACCTTTCCGTTTCCCCTATTATTATTATTATTATTATTATTGTTATTTTTCTTTTACGCTCCTCACCTTTCTTTTTCTATTCGAATTCTCGTTGTTTTGTGTGGCGCATATATATTTGGTGCCCTCTTGTATCAATATTTATGTGTTCAAATAAATAAATAAAATAAAATGTAGAGTAGCTGAAGACCAGCTGAACTGCTCCTGTTCCGCCCATCGTTCTAAACGTCTGGGCTGAGAGCAGATATGAGTGTCGTATTTTTCCGAGATTGTCTCACTTAAGCTTGACTTGTTAATTCCAGTTTCTTTTATTAGTCTGAAAAGCTGTCTTGCATTACCTACAGCCACTGCCTTCTCCATCTCTTTTGCTTTCGTTGCCCGCCACTGCTCACGGTCGTTCATTAGACTTCTGGTTAACCTAGGTCTGATTTGCTTTCGCTCTTCATCGTGTTCAGAGCCTGATGGGATTCACTTGTTGACTTAGAATATACCGATGACATTGTTCTATTTGGTGAAGACGCTGACAAAATGCAGAGTCTTCTGACCACTCTAATCAACAATTCAAGCATGCTCGGCATGCGATTCTCCCCATCGAAATGCAAAATGTTACTTCAGGATCGGGTTGCATCGACACCTAAACGAATGATAGGGAGTGAAGTAGTTGAGCGTGTCGATCGCTTCACTTATCTTGGGAGTCGCATCATCTTTTGTAGTCTGGTATGTGACGAAATCTCAGCACGGATACAGAAGGCTCGACTAGCTTTTGCCAACTTGCGTCATTTATGGCGTGGGCGAGATATCCGTCTACTAACCAAAGGACGGGTTTACTGCGCAGCAGTTGGTTCCGTCCTGCTTTATGGCAGTGAAACATGGCCGGTAAGAGTAGAGGATATTCATAGGTTACTAGTATTCGATCATAGTTGTCTTCGAAGAATTGCTCGTACATCCTGGGACTACCGAGTTGTTAGGAAACAGATACTAGGTAAGGATGGCAAATCGATTGGTAAAGTAGTGAAACTTCATCAGTTGAGATGGTTGAGACACGTGTTACGTATGCCCAATCACCGACTGCTCCGCTGAGCGATGTTTTATGGTGTAGGAGTAGGTTGGAAGAAAGCTAGGGTCGGCCAGACCGAAACGTGGCACAAATTCATTAAGTCACAGACAAGCGGACTGAGCCGTGTTGGTAGTTGTAGACTACCTGGTCGGGGACCGCGAGATGATAGAAACCGATGGTTAGAGACCCTGGATGACATGGCTCAAAATCGTTTGCAATGGCGCAGGTGCTTCCACTCTTTAAGGTCTTCCAAATTCTAATCTTCTGAATTCTTCATGTCCCTTTTTTTTCCTCTTTCCAAATTTATTTCACTGTATTATACTCATTGAATAACATCTTCAAACCCTAATGTTCCCGATTACTGCTTATAATTTTACTACCTCTACCACTACGGGATTTGAATCGACAATTGTATCTCTGTGCTTATGTCGTATGGCAACTTGAACTGATGCACGTACGTACGAAGTTCTACTTTGTTGCTGACTGACTGACTTCCATTCAACCTTGTTTATTTGAGATATAATTACGCTCATGTTCGTGTTTCCATTTGAGAACTTGTCGTGTGAAGTAAAGTTTCTAATTTATACTATGTAATGGGTGGCTGGGTTGTGATAAGAGTTCATATCAATACTGAATACTACTTTCGATCATATTGTGGTTTAATTTTAGGACACTCCATGTCAAAATTGAAAAGCTACGTTGCATCTTACACTATTTTCATCGTGTTCTTCAAAAGTTTCCTACGGGATCAGTTACATTTACAAGACGCTGTCTAGGTAATTTGTCACCAGATTGGATGAGGAGCGAATTAACATTTGATCAGTTGCGTTTACATGTCAATGCCACAGGATCAATTACTGATGCTGGTCCAAACACCTTACAAGTTTGTTATGTGTCGTTTATTAAACTTATTTTGTATTGAGTTTAGTTTTGTATTGTTTTTTATGCTAGGATGTATCTTATGTTGCCACTTAGATCAGCCATTAAGAAATTTTTCATACAATCATCTTGTAGTCGTTTATATGAAATCTATGTTTGTGACTTGTTAATTTCATTACAGATACCTAGATCTCACCGAAATCAAGCGTCTTTATATGGGATTATTAATGTACTAAACTCCTAACCCGTTCCATTTCTATGAACAAAATATCGTGTTTCCGTTCTGTCACTAGAGTATCGATTTCGTCATACATGGTTGTTTCCATTAATTTGCTTCATCAACTAATTTTTTATCAGAAGGGGTTTTATGGATATTATAGTGATCTGAATAGTTAAGGTCATGAGTCAGCTGAAGCAAGACCACAGTGGAAAACCTGGAAGCACTGGACGGCCGTTTCGTCCTACTGTGGGACTTCTTAGCAGCGCACACGCACGATCCCGCCTCGCGAGATTCGAACACAGGACTTACCAGTCTCGCGCGCGAGCGCTTCTAGCGAGAAGCAGTGACCAATGGAATTCAACTGGGTCTGTTGTGAGATAGTAACTCACTGAAGATAATGGTGGGTGTGTCGCTCAATTTCATGAATTTGTGCCACGTTTCGGTCTGGCCGACCCTAGCTTTCTTCCAACCTACTCCTACACCATAAAACATCGCTCAGCGGAGCAGTCGGTGATTGGGCATACGTAACACGTGTCTCAACCATCTCAACTGATGAAGTTTCACTACTTTACCAATCGATTTGCCATCCTTACCTAGTATCTGTTTCCTAACAACTCGGTAGTCCCAGGATGTACGAGCAATTCTTCGAAGACAACTATGATCGAATACTAGTAACCTATGAATATCCTCTACTCTTACCGGCCATGTTTCACTGCCATAAAGCAGGACGGAACCAACTGCTGCGCAGTAAACCCGTCCTTTGGTTAGTAGACGGATATCTCGCCCACGCCATAAATGACGCAAGTTGGCAAAAGCTAGTCGAGCCTTCTGTATCCGTGCTGAGATTTCGTCACATACCAGACTACAAAAGATGATGCGACTCCCAAGATAAGTGAAGCGATCGACACGCTCAACTACTTCACTCCCTATCATTCGTTTAGGTGTCGATGCAACCCGATCCTGAAGTAACATTTTGCATTTCGATGGGGAGAATCGCATGCCGAGCATGCTTGAATTGTTGATTAGAGTGGTCAGAAGACTCTGCATTTTGTCAGCGTCTTCACCAAATAGAACAATGTCATCGGTATATTCTAAGTCAACAAGTGAATCCCATCAGGCTCTGAACACGATGAAGAGCGAAAGCAAATCAGACCTAGGTTAACCAGAAGTCTAATGAACGACCGTGAGCAGTGGCGGGCAACGAAAGCAAAAGAGATGGAGAAGGCAGTGGCTGTAGGTAATGCAAGACAGCTTTTCAGACTAATAAAAGAAACTGGAATTAACAAGTCAAGCTTAAGTGAGACAATCTCGGAAAAATACGACACTCATATCTGCTCTCAGCCCAGACGTTTAGAACGATGGGCGGAACAGGAGCAGTTCAGCTGGTCTTCAGCTACTCTACATTTTATTTTATTTATTTATTTGAACACATAAATATTGATACAAGAGGGCACCAAATATATATGCGCCACACAAAACAACGAGAATTCGAATAGAAAAAGAAAGGTGAGGAGCGTAAAAGAAAAATAACAATAATAATAATAATAATAATAATAGGGGAAACGGAAAGGTACAACCAGGAGAAATCTTTCAGTTAAGGAAGATACAACCACTTTTTATGAAGAAAGTAAAAGGTTACAGAAGGATCGCCACTGGCTTCTATTCTGAGCCATATGTGATAATGACTCTAACCACTGTGTTGTATCATCTCTCGGAACCCAACCAGGGAGTCGCGAAAGACCAGCAGAAGCCAGTCTTGTAGATCCTTCGTTCTTGTCACGACACCATGTCGTAGACTGACCACCTTTCCACTTTATTCCAACCAGTCCCAGCGTCGTCAACTAGTGCACGACGTGGAACTCTCTGAGACGACATTCGTAGAACATGTCCAAGCCACCGAAGTCGGTGTTTCAAGATAGTGACACCAATTGAATTATCGTCGCTGTGCCAGAACAGACGACGCCAGACCTCTGCACTACTAACATGGTGTTGCCACTGGATGTCAGTAACCTTTCGGGGGCAACAATGATCAAACACAGAGAGTCGTCTAACATCCTCAACTCAGAGAGGCCAAGTTTCGCAAGCATAGAGAAGAACTGCTCTCACCAACGCGTTGTAGATCCGAACTTTTACAGCCATATTAACATCACGAAGGCGCCAAAGATGGCCCAGATTGGCATAAGCCGCTCTGGCTTTCACTATACGTGGATTGGTTTCATCACTGACCCCACTACCAGCACTTATGCAGCTACCCAGATACGCGAACTTCTCGACTACTATCTGCTCACTATCCAGGGTGAGTACAGGATTAGGATCCTGCCAGTCTTTCAGAAGTACTTTGCACTTCGAAGGTGCAAAGCACATACCATACCTACGGACAATAATTGCCAACTGATTAAGTACGGATTGTATGGCTTGGGCATTATCGCACAGTAATACAATATCATCGTCATATTCCAGGTCGAGAAGTCTTTCTCCAGGTAACATATCCACACCGTCATTAATTACATACATCAGGGCTGTTTCCAGAATGTCATCGATGGCAAAGTTGAAGAGGAATGGTGAGATTGGGAAACCCTGTCTAACCACACTGCTTGAATGGAACAATTGAGAAAGGTGGTTGTATGCCATTACTCTGTCTGAGGTGTTGGTATGTAGGACTTTAAATATGTTAATAATCTTCTCAGGCACATCCTTCTTCAATAGACAATCTCAGAGAACAGCCCTATCCAACGAATCGAAGGTGGACGTGATGTAAAGAAACACTATGATTGTGTTGGGATATTCAGTAAAATATCCCAAAGATTATTCTGTTAAGCCTAATGCTATCCTTGGACATGAAATGGTATCATCCTATTGGTCAATATTCATTTAACGTGTCATTTTCCTACTGGTCAATATTGTACGATGTTATTTTCTATTTTATGGTACGATGTGGTATGGTTGACTGGTATATAAGCAGAGTGTGTTTGAAATATAACGATTCATATATCCGAGGCTGAGACTTGCGTTCTGGACTCAACTGGCTGGGCTAGACAGGGAAGCGGGACCAATCAGAACCCTAGGTCGTTCTTACGTGTTTGCGCGTCTTTGGTCCGATCGATAATTCGCCGTCCTCTAATCTGCCGTCACAGTTATAGCAGATTGTTGGCCTGTAATAAGTATAGATGTATTCTAAAATTTGTAGGAGGGTGTAAATATGATCAGTACATCTTCGCCCAGAACGAAAACCAGCCTGTCCTCTCGAGTCAATTTTTCTCGAGTTTTGAACAATCTAAGAATCATGACAGAAGCCAATAGTTTAAACGCGATTGGAAGTGGACTTATTCCCCGATAGTTGTTTCAGAAACGACGTGAACCCTTCTTAGAGATAGGAACGAGTATCGACTCATTCCATTATGTTGGAACACTCTCTAATTGCCAGATCTTTGTAAACAACACAGTCAGTTCCTTAGCCAGAAAGTCACCACTATCTTTAAAAAGAGCCGGAGGTAAGTCATCTGGGCTGTGATTTGTAGCGCTTCAAGAGTTGGAGTTCCTTGCGGACTTCCGCCCCATTTGGTGGATCAGTCGTCACCGGCCATGGAGGGCAAGACAATCTGACCAATGTTGCCGGAGCAGCAGGCCAGTTGAACTGCCCTTCGAAAAATTCTGCCCACCGTCCAAGACGTCGATGGATGTTGGTGATTGGCATCCCGTCATCCTCGTAGATTGTTTCACTTACACCAGACTTCTTGCTGCTAGTGGCTCGGATGAGTTGGAAGAGCTTCCGGTAGTTACCAGATGCAGCTGCTGCTTCCGGCTCACTAGCACACTCCGACCACCAGGCTTCTCGGTCCTTACGCAAGCTTTGCCCGATTTCATCACGTAACATCCTTCGTTTATGGTCAAACTCACGGTCACCCGGAGTAGACTGACGGGCTTCGATGAGTTGTAAGGAGCCTGGAGAAACCCTGTGCTCATGGACCGGACGTTTCGCGAAGCCGCAAGCGGACTTTACTAGCAATTTTCATGACGTCATGAAGTTGCGACCAATGCTCATCTATACTTTTCGGTGGAATGGTATCTAGCCTAGAAGCTAGCTCGGTTCGATACTTAGTTGTAACATCGGCGATGACTGTGCCGAAAGTTATTGCTAGCCAGAAACAGGTTGAGGTCTGTGCACAGTTGCAGTAGACGGTCACCGTTATCTGTCCTGAGACCAACAAGTCCCCATTGGCCACCTAAACGATTCTCTTCTGTGCTCGACCTGAGCATTCAAGTCTCCGGCTAGTACTACAATATCTGTCGAACGCACTTTCTGTAGAACAACTGTTAACTGGTCGTAAAGCTCATTCTTGATTGCATACGGGCTGCAATCTGTCGGGGCATAGGCGGAGATGACGAAAAGACATCGTTTTTCACGCCGATTTCTTTTCGCTTTGATGGAACTTTCTAATCTAACAGCACATAACCGACTGTTAGTGGGGATCCAATTGAACAGTGCTGTCTCAGATCTAGCGCTTAATGCGACACCAACACCAGCAAGACCAGACGATGCCACAGGGTCCCCGGATAAACGCACGTGAAACAAGCTTTTCGAAGCGACAGATGGAGAGCGAATTTAACTAATATAGCACCTAAGATACTAGCCTCAATAATTATCGGGCGTCTAATAAAAACCCGTGAACTGGAAAAGTGAGAAAATTAGGCTGGTTTCAGACCTGGTCGTGGCTGCATCGACCACATATTCACCATTCATCAGGTTTTAGAACACAGACATGCTCATCGACGTCCGACAATGATAGTTTTTCTTGACCTACAAGCAGCATTTGACTCTGTAGACCAAGAGGTTCTGTGGAAGTGTATGTCATTGAAAGGCGTACCTCAGAAGTACATAAACCTTGTGAAGGCTCTTTACTCGAACACTACTAGTCGAGTCAGAGCTTATGGCGAACTGTCATCTGATTTCGCAACCTTAAGTGGTGTCCGTCAAGGCTGTCCACTTTCTCCATCTTTGTTAAACTTTATCATAGACCTACTGATAGAAAAAACGTTCTCGTTGTTTGAATTTTCAGGCATTGACCTCCTACCAGGAGGTCAACTTATCGACTTAGAATACGCAGATGACATTGTCCTGTTTGGTGAAGACGCTGATAAAATGCAGTCTTTTGGTAGCACTAAGCAACAATGCCAGAATGTTTGAGATTCGCTTCTCCCCCTCTAAGTGCAAGTTTTTGCTTCAGGACTGGTCTGCGTCAGCACCTGAACCAAGGATAGGGAGTGAAGTAGTCGAACGCGTCGACAACTTCACTTATTTCGGAAGTCTGATCAGCCCTAATGGGTTGGTGTCTGACGAACTCTCAGCACGGATTCGAAAAGCTCGCTTGACTTTTGCCAACTTACGTCACCTATGGCGAAGGCGAGATATCCGTCTATCAATTGAGGGACGAGTATACTGCGCGGCAGTCCGTTCTGTTTTAATTTACGGCAGCGAAACCTGGCCATTAAGAGTATAAGATACTCGTAAGCTACTAGTATTTGACCACAGATGCCTCAGAGATATTGCTCGTATCTGCTGAGATCACCGAGTAAGTAATAGTGCGGTTAGACGCAGACTATTAGGGAATGATGGTAAATCAGTTGATGAGGTTGTGAATCTTCATCGACTGAGATGGTTGGGCCACGTATTACGTATGCCTGAACTCCGATTACCACGACTCGCAATGCTAACCGGTGTTGGAGATGGTTAAAAGAAAGTTAGGGGCAGCCAAATCAAAACATGGCATTAGTCCATAAAGTCACTACTTCTATGAATCCGGTGTTCATCTTGCTGTGCTAATGAGATATGGCAACTTAGACCGATGCATATATGTGCTTGGTCCTACGTTGTAGCTGACTGACTAAATATCCCGGGAAAAGTTCAACAAAGTTAAAAAAGAATGGAGAGAGTGGACAGCCCTGACGAACACCACTTGAGTTAATCAATCCTGATGACGGTTCGCCATAAGCTCTCACTCGACCAGTTGTGTCCGAGTAGAGAGCCTTTACAAGGTTAATGTACTTCTTTCGTACTCCTTTCAGTGACAAACACTGCCATAGAACCTCACGATCAACCGAGTCAAATGCCGCCTTAAGGTCGAGAAATACTACTATTGTCGGACGTCTGGATGTGTGTCTATGTCCTAGGACCTAACGTAGTGTGAATATCTGGTTTATACAGCCACATCCAGGTCGGAAACCAGCCTAGTTTTCTCTAGTCTGCTTTTCACGGGCTTTATTTAGGCGTCGAAGTATTATTGAAGCTAATATTTTAGACACTATATTGGTCAAAATGATTCCTCTGTGATTGTCACAAGAGGACTTTTGTCCATTCTTACAGACTGGCACAATCAGTAACTGAGACCAGTCAGATGTGATTACGTCCAGTACCCAGGGCCTGTTTCTCTTCCTTGCTTAAGATTACATATAGCTTTTTTAACTTCGTAGAGTTAAAGGACTTACATCAACTTGGCATTCAGGTCGACTAGAGGATCGTGGGGGAACGAAATGTGGCTGAAGGCCAGTGTACTACAAGAAGTACAGTCAGTCAGTCAGCTACAACGTCAGACCAGGCACATATATGCATCAGTCCAACTTGCCATACCTCATTAGCACAACAAGATGAACACCGGATTCATAAAGGTAGTTAATTCAGAGGTGGTAATATATAAAAGAAAGATTGCAATAAGGATATAGTACAGGAAGAAAGAATTAGTTCGTAGAAAGAAAGATATGAAGCGATTTTAATCTCTTAGTTTAAGGGAAGACAGAGAGTGTATACACCGATGCCATTGTAATCGATCCTGAGCCATGTCATCAAGAGTCTCCAACCACTGGTTATGATAATCACGCGGACCCCAACCAAGTAGTCTGCATCTACCAACATGGCTCAGACTAGAAGTTAGTGATTTCAAGCACTGATGCCACGTTTTGGTTTGGCTGCCCCTAACTTTCTTTTAACCATCCCCTACACCGGTTAGCATTGCGAGTCGTGGTAATCGGAGTTCAGGCATACGTAATACGTGGCCCAACCATCTCAGTCGATGAAGATTCACAACCTCATCAACTGATTTACCATCATTCCCTAATAGTCTGCGTCTAACCGCACTATTACTTACTCGGTGATCTCAGCAGATACGAGCAATATCTCTGAGGCATCTGTGGTCAAATACTAGTAGCTTACGAGTATCTTATACTCTTAATGGCCAGGTTTCGCTGCCGTAAATTAAAACAGAACGGACTGCCGCGCAGTATACTCGTCCCTCAATTGATAGACGGATATCTCGCCTTCGCCATAGGTGACGTAAGTTGGCAAAAGTCAAGCGAGCTTTTCGAATCCGTGCTGAGAGTTCGTCAGACACCAACCCATTAGGGCTGATCAGACTTCCGAAATAAGTGAAGTTGTCGACGCGTTCGACTACTTCACTCCCTATCCTTGGTTCAGGTGCTGACGCAGACCAGTCCTGAAGCAAAAACTTGCACTTAGAGGGGGAGAAGCGAATCTCAAACATTCTGGCATTGTTGCTTAGTGCTACCAAAAGACTGCATTTTATCAGCGTCTTCACCAAACAGGACAATGTCATCTGCGTATTCTAAGTCGATAAATACAAGGGTAACCAACAAGAATATAGTGACGAAAGTGAAAGCAATCACGTTGCTTTGTAGTGTCTTATTTTAGGTTTTACATAAGCATCTTAACTTCAGTTAGATTTTCTTACAAAATAGCATTGAGAACCGAATCCCTATAATAGCTTGCTAATAATTATTATTGCGACTTAACTGGTTTCATGAAAAGCAGATACAGTAAATCGTGAAGATGACTTAGGATTTAGTATAATGAATAAACTCACCTGCTTGTATCATATTTACTGTCGGCTTTTGCTGACAGTAAATGAGAGAAATTGATCTGAGGGAAATTAACATATTCTGCATCTTGACTGTGACAATTACGTCTAGGAAATGTACAAAACAAAGCATTTGCCAAAAGACTGGCTATCTGGAGTTGACTTAAAGTAAGTGCGCATTCTTTTCGGCATGATAGTAAAGGAATAGGCTAAAGTGAAAAAGTAGAAATGATAATCAAACAACGTTCAAATAAATAGTGACAACCACTGACAAAAATAAAAGTATGAGTCCATGTGCACCATTGGTTTAGAATTAGGGCTCTCCAACTCCCCTAGGTGTTCGCGAACCCGGTTAAAGCGCAGGACTTTCGTCTTTTCGGTTTTATAAACAACATCCGCACCACGAGAAGACAGCGAGTGAGACTGCAGTTGCAGTAGCTGTGTATGCGTGGCCGTGTGAGCATTTTGATAGATGGAGCTGACCCTCTTCACCCTAAGCCATACCAGAGCATTTAGTGGATATATAAATCACTCAGATGATTTCTTTGGAAAACAATCACGTGAGTCGTATTCACCATGCAAATTGGTGAATACATGCTTTTGCCATTAATAATATTTCTAGAGGAGCTTATTTCATGAAAGCTCTAGGTCGGTTTGCACGACCACTGATCCATAATTTATCCGTTTGACCGAATGAAATAGTTACTTGAAATAACATACGACAGAGAAATGTTTCTATTGATGTAGTCGTACATCCTTGTGTAAAAGTTATGTTTTAATTCTGTCCCCACCATTTATTGGGTTTGATTCCTTTAATTTTGAAGAAAGATTATCACTGTAGCAGTAAGTGAGGTGTTAGTGTACAGGTGTTTGAATAAATCTATGTTAAGTAAAACATTGCCGTTGATGATACCATATAAAGTTACCGACTCTGTTTTCATCTTGTATCTTTCACTTACAATTACTAATACTTATCTTCTGTTCAGTTTAATCAAATCATTTGATATGACCTTGTGCAATAATACAGATTCTTTTACGATTACTAACACATAAGTTCTTTTCTGTTTAAATCAAGGGGACGATTTCACGATTATTGCTTTTATCTTTTGCATTATAATTATGTTATTTTTAATATCCATTTTTTTGGCACTGCTTTTCAAGGATTTATATTCAAAATATTAATAACTTCACAAATGTTCAAATGTTTTAGGTTGATTTCGCCAACAGTTATCTCGGTGGTGGTGTTTTAAATAGTGGATGTGTACAAGAAGAAATTATGTTTGCTTTACGACCAGAATTGTTGGTCAGTTGCTTATTTGTCGAGCGTCTGGGGTTTGATGAGACACTTATTATTGAAGGTGCTGAACAGTATTCCGTAGGTTCTGGCTATGCTGATGATTTCTGTTGGGCTGGAGATTTTATTCATTCGGATAGTGGGATGAAACGGTAAGTTTCACATGCATTCATAATACTGATCAACCGGATGTGATACTTGGGAGTTATTAAGAATATAAGATATCCGTCGGATTATTTCCCGTCTTCATACACGGTTAGTAAATGGGTTATCATAAAAATGTTTGTTATTAGATCCCTAAAACTTATTTTAGTCTTTCAGTTTAAGAGTTTGACAACCAAACAACGTTAGCTTTTGCCTATACATTCGATCGTTAATTGGAAGTGCAAGGTTTAAAAGATTAACTGTTATAATCACTAAACGTTCACTGACAAATAACTTCAGTATACGTGTCTTTAAAGAGAATATAAAAAGTACAGTGTCCTTGGTAAGATACAATTATTAACTTATAGTTAGATTTCCATAAGCTTCTGTATATGACAAACATTTAGTTTACCCTGGCCTCCATTGTCTGAGCATGTCTGAACCTTCTGAAATTCAGTTTAGGATGTTAGATTCTCTAGACGTTCGGTGACTTTACTAGTTAGTTACGATATTCATTTCTAGAACACCTTTGAATCGTTATCAGAATGGGGATTTGTGGAGATTGTAGTAGTTTCAATAGTTGAATTCATGAGTCCATCTAAGCTAGACCACCATTGCATCATATTTATTTTGTTCCACATTTTCCAACTACTCAAGTTCACTTATTCTGGGTAAACACATTGGGTTCTATACGATTTGACCAATTAGTTAATGTCCTCACCTTGAATCTACTTGTGTTGTAACGCGAATTACTTACCATTTAGGTAAGTTGTACTTTAACTTAAAACCCTTCGGTTAGCCTAACGCGACATGCGTGATTATTCATTCCTTGGATATGATTAAATTATCCAAAGATTAAAGTGCTTTCAGTACAGCTTAAAAGTTCTGAGTGGCGGTGAGAAGTCCCATAATAGGATAAAGAAAGCTAATAGTCTTTTATTGGATATGTGATTTTCACTGTTATTAGCACAATTTTCCAACATACTGACCTAGAATGTAGTTACATTTCTTTTCTATCTAGTTTATATTGTAGACGAAAGGCTGTAATTACAAGAGCGTACTTGTTCAGCTCAGTTCTTTTGAATAGTAGTTTACTCATCAATATTGCTTATTTATACTATGAATATAGTTCTTCTTGATTTGTACTAGCGATAACTGGGGGAGATGGAATTATGCAGTAGTAGCAATGGATGCTACTAAATACAGTAATCCTATGGAACAGTATAATGTCGAGGAAATGCTAAGAGAATTAAATAAGGTAATATTATGGTTTTATCACTTTATTTAAATTGTATTTGATTTTATAATAATATCGGTTGGGAAAAATTTTTTTTAGTTGTTATAACATTGCTTACCTAAAGAACGTAGCATGTTTGATTTTAGAGCAGTCTATTTACTGTTCTCCATAACTGGGTTTAATAGTACACCATCACCTATCATCTGATAATAGGCTTGTATAGATTAGTATGAACTAACTGTTTGATTATTTGATGCATCATTGATGTACTGTTAACTTTTTGTGGTTTGAATAAAATTTTAATCCATATTTTAAAAAAAAACTGATGTAATTATTTATTTCACTTTTTTTCGTTTGGCGAATTATCCAGCCTTTTGTTTAGTATAAAACATATTAGTCAGTTAACTGGAGGATGTCTGATTGTTTGCATGAAGTGAACTATCAGTTATTTTCATTGTGTGCTGCAAATTATTTGTTTTCGAACTGAATTTTGAAGACAGTATGTTATGTTTTTTCCTTACGTCAATAACGAATTCTCACACGACTACTATGGTATATATATGATTGGCGGATGCAAATTTTTCTGTCCCTAACGCCTCAACCAGAACGCAAGAAAGTCAACCGATGCACCTTGTATTGTTCCAGACTTAAAGACTCACATGGTTGTATACATCATTTACATGACCACAACTTACCATAAATGAGAAATCTCGGCCTGTACAAAACTGAGTCATTTGTAGTATAACTTAAATGCAGGCTTATAGTTCGAAAAATTTAACAATACCACAAACCACTTATTTAATGAAATATCAGTCAGTCAGCTACAACGTCAGACCAGGCACATATATGCATCAGTCCAACTTGCCATACCTCATTAGCACAACAAGATGAACACCGGATTCATAAAGGTAGTTAATTCAGAGGTGGTAATATATAAAAGAAAGATTGCAATAAGGATATAGTACAGGAAGAAAGAATTAGTTCGTAGAAAGAAAGATATGAAGCGATTTTAATCTCTTAGTTTAAGGGAAGACAGAGAGTGTATACACCGATGCCATTGTAATCGATCCTGAGCCATGTCATCAAGAGTCTCCAACCACTGGTTATGATAATCACGCGGACCCCAACCAAGTAGTCTGCATCTACCAACATGGCTCAGACTAGAAGTTAGTGATTTCAAGCACTGGTGCCACGTTTTGGTTTGGCTGCCCCTAACTTTCTTTTAACCATCTCCAACACCGGTTAGCATTGCGAGTCGTGGTAATCGGAGTTCAGGCATACGTACTGAATCACGGGAAAAGATTTGGCAAAGTTTTACTTTTTTCATTTATTCCTCGATATCTAGCACAATTTTTTTCTTAGACAGTAGAAAACTTTATGTTGTTCTATTACTTTGCATTGATTTCGTTATTTCATGTTTACAGGCATATTGTGGATTTACCGACGAGTTATTTCCTGAAAGAAAACTACCTCCAGTTGTAGCTACTGGGAATTGGGGATGTGGTGCTTTTAGAGGTGATGTAGAACTGAAATGTACGTAACAGATTCTTTTAGACTTTCGGGTTAAGTTTCTCTGAAATTTTGTGGGTGTCATTTGTATCGAGTTTGTTATTAAACAACTGCGTAGCCCCTAAACCCTAATCGTTTCAATTAATGTATTTACCGTAGATTGCTAACTGCTTACCGTGGAGCTATTTTTATTTAAGTTTTGGTAAAACGCACCTTATACTCAAAGATGTGAAAAACATTCTTTTATTTATTATATGTGTTGAGCAATTTTTTGGATTTTTGGTAAACTACTCTCCACCTTAAATTATTTTCTCCGTCGTATGTTAAACGTTTCAGGTATACTTCAAATGATGGCATGCCTTCAAGCTAAAAAGTCACTGGCATATTTTACTTTTGGTGATAAAGGGTTTTGTGATAGAATCTATGCAATGTATACGTTGCTTTCTTCTGAAAAAGTAACTGTAGGTAAGGTGGAATTTTTTAAATGAACTATTCAATATATTCTCGTTAATGTAGAGAGTGATATCGAAGTAATTCTAATTGAATATCTTCGTGAAAATATATAACTCTCATTTATCCCCCAGTTTAGATTTTTTCTGACTGTCACTTCAAACAATCATGTAAATAAATAATAATTATTTTCATTATAATCCAAATAGTACTTCTTCATCGACTAGTTCTTCAGACCAGGGACAATTCATTTTTATCCTTGTCCATTTTCAGGGACGGATAATTATTAAAGTTCCACAACATATACATATCCCTCAAATTTGCATCGATTACGTCAATCAAATAAGTATGTAGCTCACCAAAAGCTATCCTTTGTTGTCATTCAACTTTAAGTCTGTCGGGAGGTCGATCTCTTTCGTAACGGCACTTGATTTGAAAAATGTAGACGAATATTTATTAAAATTTATATAGACAGAAATAAAGTTTCTTAAATTTTCTAACCGAAGTACTCTACGGTGTACAAACTAGGGTGCTTAAGTGTATTTTCTTTTTTAATTTAAACAACTTTCTTTATCTGATTAGGTAATCATTATCTAAATCCTAATATAAAGCTACAACTTTTGAACAGTTCTGTCGTCCATTTTTTAGTTGATTTTATACTAAAGTTGACCTTAATAAAGGTTTGAGACCCAACTATTTCAGAGATGCCTAGTGCCTCTATAGTGTCTTGCTTCTGGTGAAATTCAAAAACATTACGTTTTACTCTGGATTTCGTTCCATATTTTGCATATGAATCAGTTCATAATCAAAATCAAATTGAGTATATGAAAATACCATATCTTAATTTAGATTTTTAAGGAAAATATTGCGGATATCTATTGTAATGTTCACCATCACTACGGATTGATAGACTAGACTTTTATAAAATATAGTTGTTCTAATTATGTAGCGATATCTCATTAACGGATCATGTATTGTGCCTTGGATTTGGAGAATTTGTGCAAAACTCGAAAATCAGGTCCTATTTTAATTGGATCGCCCCCATGTTATAGTAGCACTTTCAGACTGTTCTGTTTACAACTATTGTCTTAGTATAAAAGTACTTTTCCTCGTCAATATCCTCTTTTGTTATCAAAACTAATGGTTTATTAATTTCACGTTTTATAGGACGATTATGGCAAATACTAATTGAGCATGCTGGACATGACTTGATGAAAAATCAATCTGTATTTGATCTTATTTCTCAAACATTGAAGTAAACGTAAATCATTGATACATATGTAAAATACCACTAACTTTTATGTCAAACCTCTTTTTTATTTGCCTTTTCACGAATTTGGTAGCTACAATTTCACTACTTTCGCTTTGCAACTTGTACAAAACACAAGGAAAAAATAAATAAATAAACTCCAAGTAATCGTTTTGCCTGTAATTAGAAACGTAATTCATTTTTATCTTAATGGTTAGTTTTCCAGGATGGGAGTACAACCTTTATTGAGACAAAGTTCTGTTTCTGTTAACTAAGTATTCAACGTTTAGATTTTCTTTGAAGTGTAATTGCCATTCCGTTAAATAGGATAGATTAATTATATAATATCCATGTATAACCAGGAATATGAGTATTCAGTTTTCAATGTTCGAAATTAACATTTAATCCAATAATTCTGAAGCACTTGTTTCTTTCCGTTCAGCGTTAATGCGTAATAAGTGTAGTCGTCACCTGTACATGACTATTGATTACACTTCTAAAAAACATAGGTCATAGATGATTGTACATCTGCGTCTTTTAGCAGCCTAAATGCTTCTGTTTGGTAACTTTTAATGTGAGTTTTACGCGGTTACATCATGCAGTCATACAAGTTCGACCGCTTATTGAGAACGCGATATCGATACCAACAAGAACATGTTAACACAAAGGTACAGGTTAAGCATAGTTGTTCCACAGTATTAATTACTCTCTTATATCTAGTGTCACCGAATAGATCCATCTTCAAACCTTGAGGAATCACAGCTCACTTTAGTTGTACAAATCAATAACAGTAGATACTGCGTAGGTTACTTAAAAAAGACGAAAATGTATCATTACAAAACAAACTATGATTGCTTAAGTTATTGTTGTAAGACTGTAAGGTAAAATTTATCTGCTTACTATTATTTCGGTATGCCTAAATAAATATGGAAGATGACAGTACAAAAAATAGGCTTTGAATTAACTTTGGGATCCCATGATTAGTACTAAATTGTTGTTTAAGAGAAGATCCTAATCATTTCATTATACTAAGCATTCTTAATAATTCTGTTAATGAAGTTTAATCATCTACACCATTAGCATTAGCGTAGTCATTAGAGCAATTAGTCTCCAATATAATAAATTGCACGTCTTATCCTCGGTCGGTTCATATTGCGGTGTGCTACTGATGTTGACAGATAAGTAGTACGTATTACCAACCGAAAGTAAAGTGCCTGGAGGCAGAAGGTGAAGATCATAGAAAAGTGAACGAGAACAAAGAATGATAGATGTGGAAACGAAAGGACAATGAAGTCTGAGACGATTGACTGATACTTGCAAAAGGAGCAGTCAATTTTGAGACGATTGATTGAGAGTTTACAAATTAAGCATTTACTGTATGGTTCTCAGATTTCACTAAGATGTTCTGTAATTTTGTGTTTCAAATACATTCGATTTCCCCGACTTGTGTTCTCGTTCACTTCAATATTATTGACCCTAACAAAAGTAGTGTGGCTTACACCTGCGTACAGAAAGTTGTACATGCTGGATGGATGACCGTAATGGATGCTTTGCTTTCCCCTTGATTTAGCAAAATATCGAAAGACAACAAGGCTCAACATTTTTATTATTTTATTCTTGAACTGCGATACGTAGATATGTGTTTAATTGGGACTTGATTAATTCTAGACATACTTGTAATTTTAACGAATTTGTCACCAGATTTCACATGGTAGTCTGTTGGTTCTAGTTTTGTTAATTTACTCCGTCCAGTATTACCGTTAACACCAGTGTTGGAATCACTGAGACGAGTGGGCTTCACTTTTCGGTCAGTATTTGTATTTGTTCTAATTGTGTGTGATTGATGTTCTGTGCTTTGTATGGTATCTCGACCGGAATTTTTTAGTTTATCAATATTTTCTAATTTATTTGACCAGTAATTGTTGTTATCATGGAATTTTTGTGAAATCTAGATAAAATTTTAATGAAATAGAAGGAATTATTTGTAGGGATAAGCAATCATAGTGTTTACTGAATAAATTAGAAAGTGAATGTTAAGGCCTTATTTAATTAATGCAATAAAGTATAGAGGTTCATAATCTAGGCTTAAAACAAAACGATTATGGTATGTATTCCGGATGAAAATATTGAACTAACCAAAACAAATATGTGAAAGTCCGACCTAGCTATTTATGGTTAGAATTATGCTTTAACTAACTAAAAATGAAAAAAATAGATTATTCAATACGCGAGGAACCACGCAAGGTTTATGTTAAAAACGGTATTCAACTGCCCAAGTCCACTTCATCAACTTTGTGATATGCTTAATTGTGCTGCATACTTCGCTAATGACGTGTAGTGGTTCTATTGGAATGATTTTATCGATATAACTAAAAGTGATACCTTTATAGTCAACAAAATAAGCGACACCAAAATTTAATTTTGATCTAGTATCCAAAAAAGTGTTTGAGAGTGAGGTAACAGCTTTTTATGACAATGAAGACATAATGATATGATTGCGAAACGGAATAACTAATGCCAAAACTATATATAATTTGCAGTGGAATAATTAAAGAATAGTTTAATACACTTAAGGTTTTATCGATTATTGATGACCACAAGTTGATTACATTTTAAAAAAATCAGTACATCACTACGAATTTACATTTCCCATGAAACTGTCAGAGATATATCTGTTTCATATTTTATTATCCGGTGTTAAATTTTTCAACGCACATCAAGTTAGTACCCACACTCTATGGATACCATCTGGAAAAATACTTTATTTGCCGTGTTGGTTGAAGCAAATTCAGGAAGGAAATATAAATGACTGGCTGGAAGGGAATAGACAACTGAAAGAGAGAAGTTTGCCTAATACTATAACAGTATGGTTCAACAGAGGAGGAGAGCTAATTCATGTTGGTGAAGTTTTAACTATCTACTTGCCCTTAACTGGAGTCAGCGAAGTACCTGTGGTACAGAATGCTCTCAAGAATGAAGGTATACCAGGTGTAGAAATGAATTTGGAACCAAAATACAGTGAAACACTTGCGGGAATCAAACAACTTCTATTCACTCATGAAATGGAAATTGTCACGTGTGCAGCTATTAGATCGACACCAATAATTGGTGTTGAAAACAAATGGGCTTTCTTTCAACGTGATAGTACAATTGTTAGGCAAGCACAATTTGCTTTCCATGTTTACACTCCATCAATCATAGTATGGAGTTATGCACTGGAAGCACTTTCCAAAGATCTAATAACAGAGAAAAACCTTACACAAACATTGACTAATATAAAACTCTGGTGTAAATCAAAAGTAAATATAGCTGAATATAAGTTAAGTCCTTGTCAGGATATAATAGTACAAGTGATGCCACTGACCTCACTCAAGAAACCAACAGATTCTTTGCCAGTTGAATTACCGAAAAGTAAATTCACAGAAATATCAATACTTATTGAACTATCACATGAACCGATCTTCTTCTTATTAAGTCCTGCAGGAAGTCTTTTTAACTATATTCATGCTACTCTAAAAGCGGAAATGGACGAACTCATTAAAAGATCAGTAATAAAGGACAGTTTATCTACACGCGAAATCGCTACTCGCATACGAGTAGTCTGTCCACCAGGTAGTCAGACGTATCAGCCACCACCTTTGTTCAAGTCAATCACTCCTAGTGAGTATGATGAATCATTATTCAAAAACTCATCAGCATATCCACTAACAAAATGGTCACTCGTATGCCATCCATGTCCTCCAGGTCATGCTCCTCAAACTCCATACGCATTTAGTGGTTGTCACTTGTGTCCTAAGGGTTACTACTCAGGTGAAACGAATTATCCGTCAAGTGGAGGATGCCTGCAATGTCCCATTGGCTTTACTACGGATAACATAGGCGCAAAGTCTGTCAGAGAATGTCATGTAGATGGAGGAGCTATATCTCGTCTGATAATTGGAATCTTCATCAATTTATGGAAAGAATTTGAGCAATTTTTAATTGATAATTCGAGAAAAGAGTTTACTACTAGAGCGGGAGAACAAATCCAGGAAAATTACTGGGTTTCGAAGAAAAAAATTGGTTTGTCTGTATGGATCTTTCTGAGTTTATATATCTTGACAGCTTTATGGTTGTCATCAATAGCTGTCTATCGGATGCATCTTTACATCAAGCTACGCAGAATGTATCAAGCGCAGTTTAGATTACTTTTAAAATCAGCTTTAGTGGGACAAATAAATGTTGTTCTTCGAACTAAACAACAAATAAGAACCAGTAATAATGTCACTTGATAAGGAATACAACCAGTGAAGCAATCATTACAATGATGCAAAATTAATGCTTCATGTTGTACATTTATAAAGAAAATATAATATTTCAGAGCAAATTACATTTTATTGAAGAAAAGATCGTGAGAGTCAATTTAACCGAAAATCACAAGTCATGTACGATATGCTATTTTGTATTAAGTGACCAAGTCACTCGTAAACCAATTTTATTCAGATAAATTGTCATGAACGTCATTTTTCTGATAATTTAAATGAATCGCGAAAGTTCGAAATATAAAAAGGGTAAGTAATTACTGGAGGGACAGGGAACTAAAGTTACAACTGGATCTTCATAATCATTTATCTTTTCAGAGTAGTTGTTAGCTGAAAACTATCGGAACTGCTCTTTAAATATGGGGGGGGGGAATATGTATAATTTAAGATTTATCCAGGGCTAAATGATTTACAAAGTATAAATGTACTATTTGTTCTTAAGTTTAGGTCAAAAATTAGTTTTCAAAATAGAAGTTAGATCCACATTAATTGGATTAAATTGCATAATATATAACAGTTGTCTATACCAATCCCGCTATTTCCCTTTCTATTCTTTTAATGTTTTTTGGGTGTAGCGCATCAATTAATCGTGACCCATTATTCTGTATTGTAACATCAATAATATTCATTGAGTTCTGTGGGCTATGGCTGACTTTTGAATAAAATCTCAATGAACATTGGCATTATGTTTCTGATACTCGTCTAAACTTTTATTCATGAGCGTAGACTTAACAGTGTTAAAAATTATTAAGATCCGTGAGTGAAACCAAAGGATTTAGAAAATTACATATTTAACTCGTTTAAATTTGTATGAATATTGAAGAATAATTCACAAATAATTATCAATCTCTATCACAGATTGCCTGCAAGAAAACTGATTA